TATATATATATATATATGTGCCTTTGTATATTAATTTCTTACATTTGTTTAATGTTACTTACTGCTCAGAGTCTGATGAATACAGTTTATATATGGATTGCCAGTATAACCAGGGATACAAGTGCAAATGGGAATATTGTTGATAACTTGACAATTGGTATTGGTACCACACGAACCAGGACATGGATTCTGACATTTTGATCCAATGCAAGCTAAATGTGCGGGGCAATCTGACGAAATAGTACATTCGGGACGACATCCTTCATAGGGATTCCCAATATATTCAAGCAAACATGTACAAGAACCGACACCGTTTTGTTCTCTACATACGGCATTTGTTCCACAAGGGGATGGTTGACAAGGTTGTCTTGGTGCTGGTAGTTCGCCTAAAAAAATATAATTTTATCCTATCCATAACATCAACTTCGAATTAATATCTTCTTAATATTATAGAACTCTATTGATTAAGTTTCATAGTTGTAGTATTACTATAATAATCAAAGTGTAATATTAAAAAGAATTATTATAACAATAAATACAATGCTAATCACTCAATAAGGCGTTTATAAAAAAAAATACTTAGAAATCAAGTCTATTTGAACTTACTGGGCATGATCATGCATTGAACAAATGGATCGCCTGTGTAACCGACGTGACACGTGCAAGTAGGCACATGATTAATGACGTAGCAATTAGCCAGAGAGTGACAAGATCCAGGACATGGGTCTCTACATTTTCGATTAATACATGCCATTTGACTCGGACATTCACTGTTACTAATGCACTCCGGTCTACAGTTTGGTGGTGTCCCAATGAACTCTATCGTGCAAGAACACGATGGCGTATCATTGATGATTTGGCACTGAGAATTAGGACCGCAAGGCGATGGTTGGCACGGGTTTATCGGTTTTGGAATATCTTCCGCTTTAAGATAAAAATATATAAATTGTTATGTGCTTGATAAATGTGCGTCTAGTATTTTTAGTAATCATAGAAACCTACGTCTTGGTACACAACGTATGAATGGATCGCCAGTAAATACAGGAGGACAGGTGCAAACTGGATTATGATTCAACACTTGGCAACGAGCGGATATACCACACGCACCAAGGCAAGGATTGCCGCATTTCATGTTGATGCAAGCTTCGTTCAGTACACAATCAGTATTAACTATGCACTCGGGTCGGCAGGCTGGCGGATTTCCTATGAATCCAGTTATACACGTACATACTGCTTGATTATTAAAATTCTGACATCTACTATTTGGACCGCAAGGCGATGGGTTACATGGATTCTCAATAACGGTTTGATCTGCAAAAGCAATTATTATCGAAATCGTTTTCGTTTCAAGACATCTTAGAGTAAATTAAATTTTTTCGCGACAATAATTCCTGTGACAGGAATCTTTAGTTAATAATTGTCTCTAGTATGAAAATAACACACGATCGTCAATCTTACCTTGAATGACCGGATAACACGCAGCAAACGCATTGCCGGACATTCCATCTGGGCAGGCACACATTGGGGTATGATTTATCACTGTGCACTTTGCGTTTTGCCCGCACACTCCAATGCACGGATCAAAACACTTATTACGAACGCAAGCTTTGTCTAAAGGACAATCCGGATTTTGTACACATTCGGGTCGACATGCGGTATAAGGATCACCATGGAACTCGGGCATACAGGTGCAAACGCCGTCGCGACATACAGTGTTAGCTCCGCATGGGGACGGATTACAAGGATCTTGTGGTATAGAAGCAGCTGCAATTATCCATTTTATCCATTTTAAATTAACGTTTCTGCTTTTAAAGGTCTAACAATACAGAACATATCTTTCTAGTTTCGTTTTGAAATTTCCTAGTATACTGTCATTTTGTAATAATTACCTTCACAGAGTAAAAACATTATATAACTCATTATAATAAATTTATAATCGACGTTAGTTTTTTTTTCAAATGCTTAAATTATAAATTAAATATTTAAAATTTGTTGAGAAAATTTTATTAAAAAGTTAATTCAGAAAACTTGCATTCAACTTGATTCTTAATTTCTCTTTTATCAATCATGAATAATATACATGTTGTATGAAGTAATGAAGACAAATGCTTACGAGCAGGTTCTGGAAAGCAATTAGTAAATGCATCCCCGGTGTAACCTTTCGGGCAGAGACAGATGGCCATGTGATTAACCACGAGGCATTGGGCACTGATACCACACGAGCCAAGGCATGGGTCTCTGCATTTTTGTCTCAAGCAGGCTTGATTATTGTTGCATTCAGAATCAACGGTACATTCTGGTCGACAATTCGGAGGGCTACCAATGTAATTTTCCATACACGTGCACGTTGGCACGCCCGCGTAGCCGCTATCGCGACAAGTGGCAAAGGGACCACAGGGGGATGGAACGCATGGATTTTCTGGCGTTTGAGGAGTATCTTTGTCTATAACTATAAACAAATAATTTTTTTAATATCATACAAAATGTTTACGTTACTTAAAAAACATTTTCTTAATTCAAATCAAATTTTATACAACAACACATTATATGCAACGACACTTTAAACAAGTATCTTTCAGCGTACTTACGCGTTTGGAAACATGTTATAAAGGGATCACCGGTAAAACCTTGATTACAACTGCAAATCGGACTATGATTAATCACTTCACATCTTGCATTGATGCCACAAATTCCAGGACATGGATCAACGCATTTACGATTTTTGCAAGCGCGATTTACGGGGCAATCGGAACTGACAGTACACTCCGCACGACAGTTCGGTGGGGTTCCGATAAATGTGGGTAAGCAGGAGCATACCGCTTGACCATTTAATTCACGACACTGACTATTAAGTCCACAAGGAGAAGGACTGCATGGATTAAGTTCTAATGCTAAAAAAAGAAGATTATACATTAAATTTTACAAAATTAGAGAATTCTACATGGTCGAAATAAGTCACATTCGCATAAAAAATGTAAAAAAGTTGTAAAAAATTATTAATTTGTGAATGACTGTGAATGAATTATTATAAAATTCTACAGATGTTACTACATTATAATTAATTTTAAGTAACTTAAAAGTTTTAAAAATATTCCGATAAATCGAACATTAATTATTAGATTAGATTAAACTGCATCTCGTAAGAACTTGAAGCACTTACACGTGTCTTGTACAATTCTGTTACAAGAGACGAACGGATTGCCACTGTATCCAGGTTGACATGTGCACAACGGCGCGTGATTCACTACTTGGCAAATCGCATTATATCCGCAAAAACCTGGACAAGGATTCTGACACTTCGATCCGACGCATGCTCGATCTGCGGTACAATCGGAGTTTATCGTACACTCGGGTCGACAACCTTCGTACGGATTGCCTGTATAATCTGATAGACACATGCAAGAACCAACACCATTCGATTCGCGGCACACCGCATTAAAACCGCACGGTGACGGGATACAGGGTGTTGGTTTTACAGCATTTATAACGTCGCCTACGAAAAACATCAAATTCATTTGTTTTTAAGGCACTGTCAATAGCTCTAATAAATTATCAATGAGTATCCCAGAGAATCACCGAATGTATTTTCGATTGCAGATACTAAAATAATTCAATAAAATAATTGTCATAATAGCGAAGCATTGAGTTTGAATCATAAATATTAAAACTACAATAAATTACAATAATAAATAAATTATATATGTATATTATAATAATGGGAATAAAATAATATATACACGTATAAATAAAAAACATAATAATATTCTTATATTTTATTTTTTACTTAAATTAAACTTGATTCTTAATTCAATCTTGATAAAAATTTAATTTAATCGCCATTTAATTTAGTTAAAATTAAAAATTTACCATAATATGACAATCAGAAATACATTCTGTGATTCTAAGTACTTTAGAATACATAATTACTGCACTTACTTTGCTTGGGATTACATAGTACAAACGGATCTCCTTCAAATCCGATAAGACAAACACACATAGGTGTGTGACTTATTACTCGGCAATCAGAATTAATACCGCAGGAGCCCGGACATGGATCGCGACACTTCTGATTGATGCATGCTAGCTGTGTAGAACATTCACTATTGCTAACGCATTCGGGTCTACAATTTGGTGGATCGCCAATAAACTCTGGCAAGCAAGAGCAGGAGTATGCGTTGTTTACAACTTCGCATTTACTATTAAGTCCACACGGAGATGGAACGCAGGGATTAATGGGCGTTGGAGATTCTATCGCTGTTAGGAAAAATAAAAAATACAATGTTTTCTTAACGATAAATACTTCCAATACTACTGATCAACTGTTGCTTTTAAATTACTCACGTCTTGGAATACACTGAGTGAAGGGATCTCCGGTTAACTCAGAGGAACAAGAACAAATCGGATTGTGGTTAACTACAGTACATTGGGCTCTGATGCCGCACGTTCCAGGGCAGGGATCTATACATTTTTGATTATTGCAAGCCCTGTTAGCGAGGCAGTCGGAACTAATAATACATTCCGCTCGGCAATTAGGTGGTGCATCCAAGTATCCAGGAAGACACGAACAGACAGCTTGTTCCTTTATCTTTCGACACTGACTATTCGGACCACAAGGTGATGGATTACATGGATCTTTTGGTATTGTGTCTGTTTAAATGTTAGAAAAAAGAATATAATTATAGCAAAGAATAATTACAATATTAATAATTTATGATACAATATGAAAGTAATCAAATGAGTACCAGCTATTGGGGAACACTGTACAAACGCGTTGCCAGACATCCTCTGTGCACAAGTGCAAACTGGTATATGATTTATAACAGAACACAAGGCATTGACACCGCAAATTCCAAGACCACACGGATCTTGACATTTGTTCTTAATGCAAGCCCGATGTCTTGGACAGTCTGAATTTAGAATACATTCTGGATGGCATCCAAAGTTTGGATTTCCTTGATATTCGGGAAGGCAACTGCATATACCATTAAAGCATTGCGTATTCGCGCCGCAATTTAAGCACGGATCTGTCGGTTTGAGTGTTGTATCTAAAGAATGAATTTTAACACTTAGTTTGCGATAAAGCTTATTGTGAGTTTGAGATATTTTTCCATACTCTAAATATCATGAAGAAATATTCTCAGACTTGTCTATTACTATGAATGATATTACAAATTTTCTTCTGATTGTCTTACCTTCTTCGGGAATTGATCTACACATTACAAATGGATCCCCAGTGAATCCATTGGAACAAGAACATGTGGGTGTGTGACGAATGACATTACAAATTGCTCCTACTCCACAAACTCCATCGCAAGGATTTCGACACTTCCTCTGTATACACGCTTGATTAGTTGGGCATTCTGGATTAACTGAACATTCGGGTCTGCAATTGGGTGGTGTTCCTACATATGTTGACAAACAAGCACAAGATGCTTGACCGCTAATGTCACGGCATTCTGAATAAGGTCCGCAAGGTGAATGTGCGCAAGGGTTCACAAGTGGACGAGATTCTTCATCTTTAGCTATGGGCATATAAATATATCTGTTTTATATAGTTTTATATATATATATATATATTCTTTTCCTTGAATATCTTTGATAACGTTTTAATTTTTCTAATCATCAAAACAATAGAAAAATAAAAGAGATTTTTATCTAATATAAAAAAAAAGTTATTTAAAAAATTTATTTTATTAAAAAAAATACGCAAAGCAAAAAGAATTTTTTCTCAAAAGAATATATTCAGAAAATAAAATTTAAGAAAATATTTCTTCGATCTCTTAATGATTGACTTATATCTTATAATTTCGAATTTACGAGATTTTCTATGATTCTTACATGGCATTTCAAAACAGGCAACGAATGGATCACCGGTAAATCTAGATGGACACGAGCAAATGGGATTATGATTAATCGTTTCACATCTTGCGTTGGAACCGCACAATGTACGACAAGGGTCGTTACATTTATATGAGATACATGCTAAATTGAAAGCGCATTCAGCACTAACAGTACACTCAGCGCGACAATTTGGTGGGCTAGCTACCCATTGGAAATCAGGTAAACAAGTACAGACGCTCGTATTATCCACAACGCGACACAAGCTGTTAGGTCCACATGGTGATGGTTCACAAGGATTACCGACAGCATTTTCTCCTTCTAAAAATTGCATTGTTTCATAAATTAATCACATTTCGTTATGAACCGAATTGCAATTAATGATAAATGAATTCAGATACAATGTAATCATACCTATTTCTATCGGAGTACAATATGAAAAGGCATCGCCGGTATATCTAGGATAACAATTGCATACTGGCAAATGGTTAACAACCTGGCATAACGCATTGCGCCCGCACGATCCCGGGCATGGATCTCTACATTTCATATTTACACAAGCTGAGTTGGCAGGGCAATCCGAATTTAAGACACATTCCGGCCTGCATCCTTCATACGGGTTGCCGGTATAATTCGGCAAGCACGTACACGAACCGGCACCGATAAATTCCTTGCATACAGCATTAGAACCACAAGGGGAGGGATTGCAAGGATCAATTGGTGCAGGCGGTAATGGTGTGGCTAAAAAGTGGTATTAGTAAGCATAGAATTTATAAAAATTCATATAATTTATAAAAAAATATTAATATTTATAAATCTTTCTAAATTAATTTTTATAAATTTATATATTTTTTTATAATTATATATTTTTAAAATTTATATAATATAAATTTAGGTAATTTGTATAATTAACAAGAGAATAAAAAAAAAAGAATGTTTCTGTATAAAACAGATATCAAAATCATATTAATTTTTGATATTTTATAATTACGGTAATATTTCATTTTAATAAAATTTATTTGTGATAATATGTAATGCTAATTCTGCAAGATTTTCTGTATTTCAAACATGTAGCAAATTATCAGCAAAATCATATCAGTTTTTCCCAAATGATACTTACGTTCTCTTAAGGTGCATTGAGTAAATGGATCACCGGTATAATCATTTATACAAGAACACATCGGGGTGTGACTGACAACGTGACAATTAGCATTCGCACCGCAGGAACCAATGCATGGATCCCGACATTTTTTATTAATACAAGCTAAATGATTAGAACATTCGCTGTTACTAACGCACTCTGCTCTGCAATTTGGCGGACTGCCAATGAAATCAGGCAAACACGTGCATACAGATTCATCTCCGCGTGGTTGGCATTGCGAATTGGGACCGCACGGGTTTGGCTTACATGGTGTGAGGGATACAGGTATTTGAGCTAAAAGGACAAAGTTCGATGCATAAAAAAAAGAACAAGGATTTTCTCGAAACTTCCGCATTAATCATAAACATAGACATAACAAGCGGTACTTACGTGGTGATAAATAGCATCTAACAAAAGGATCACCCGTTTGAGAAGGTGGACAAATGCAAATCGGATTATGATTCACTACTTGACAAGACGCGCCTAATCCACAACTTCCAAGACAAGGATTCGTACATTTCTGATTGCTACAAGCTTCATTCTGGGGGCAATCCGTGCTGACTATGCATTCGGGCCTGCAAGTCGGAGGACTACCTAAATATCCTCTTATACAGGAGCAGACCGCCTGATTATTTATAACACGGCATTCACTATTCGGTCCGCAGGGTGAAGGGGTGCATGGATTAGCGAGTGGTATGTCTAGTATACAAAAATAATAGATATTTAATCTCCAGGAATAATTTACAAAAAAATGTTACTTCACATAATTTTATAGTATCGAAAATAAAGGTGATCCTTATCGTAAATATTGGAAAGCTTATATATACCTTGTAGAGGTGTACATTGGCTAAATGCATTGCCAGTCATATTTCCAGGGCAACTGCACATGGGAATGTGACCAATCACGGTGCATAATGCGTTAACAGCGCAAGCTCCAGGGCATGGATCCAGGCATTTGTTACGTATACATGCTCTATCACGGGGACAATCCGCGTTTAGGACGCATTCCGGTCGACAACCTACATTCGGATCTCCTCGGAATTCCGGTAGACAAGTACAGATACCGTCAAAACATTGCGCGTTAGGACCACAGGGTGACAGAACGCAGGCATCTTCGACCGGGGATGGAGTCGCTGTAAAATATAATCGATATAGGGATTAACGAACTCGGATCACGCTATGATTCATATTAAAATTTCAAGTTAGATGGATTACTGGATGGCTCGTATCGCTTACTTATTGCTGGCAATATTTCGCAAAGAACAAATGTATTTCCAGTGTATCCCTCGGGACATCTGCACGTGGGAATATGGTTAATAACCGAACACAGAGCATTGGTGCCACACGATCCGGGACATGGATCCACACATTTCATATTGATACAGGCCTTATCACTCGGACATTCTGAGTGTATGGTACATTCAGGTCTGCAATTAGGTGGTTGACCAATATAATTTTCCAAGCAGGTACACGCGGGAGAATCACCAATATTTCTGCATTGGGAGAAGCTACCACACGGAGATGGCACACAAGGGTCTTTCTGTACTAGTGGTGGTGTTATAACTGGAAGACATTTGGAGTTATTGTTGGTGACGATTAGCAATTGTGACATACAGCAGTATATGTTGAGATTATATTAATATCTATATCTAATCTTCATGAATTTGATGGTCTTACGTGGAATTAAAGAGCATATGGTGAATGGATCTCCGCTGTAACCAGACATACAACTGCAGATGGGGCTATGATTAACGACCACACAATTAGTATTGAGTCCGCATGGGCTTGGGCAGGTGTTCACGCATTTGTAGTCCTTGCACACTAATTGTGGGGAACATTCTGAGCTAGCAACACATTCAGGTCTACATGCAGGTGGAGTTCCAACGTATGACGGAAGGCATGAACAGACAGCCTGTCCGGATACTTCTTTGCATTTGCTGTTGGGTCCACAGGGTGATGGGGCGCAAACGTTCTCATCGGAGATTATTTCTGGGAAAATTTAATATATTAGTAAAATTATGTAGATAAATATAAAAACATCCATAAAATTTATTTCTAA